ATGTTCATTCCTCTCCTCTATATACTGACAACTACAGCATACAAAAATCATTGCAGCAGCTCCATGTTGGTTGTATAGAGTCAGTGTTTCTGGCCATCATACTTCCACCCAGCAGCCCTGCCTCCACAGGATTTATTTTGCAGGCCTGTGCTGTATGTGACTTAAAATCCTCATAATCTCTGATGTAAATGTCGATCACACTGCAGAGCTCACAGGCCTGAGGACCTGTCAGACAAGTTTACAAAGCCACGGTGCACGCACACCTCCCCACACCATAAGCTGCTTACTACATAACAATGGTTTATTATCACAAAACATGAGTATCTTTCTGTTTTAGTGGGTGACATCGTTTTGTCTAACCACCTCCTCTCTCTGGGCACGAGACGAGGGGAAATCTTAGCTGCAGTTGGACGCGCACTGTCAAATAACGCGTGCACGCCCCTTGCTTTCCACTTGCGTGGGACAAAAATTGGAATAACTTTTTCGGACGGAGGTCCCTGTGGTCCAATTCTACATTACAGGACTGTTACCTCCTGCCAGATGAGTTCGTTGTCACTGCAGACAGAAAGACTACAGCTGGTCGCAAGCGTCGTTTTTTATTGTTTACCTATTCTGCCCTGGCTGCGTGCCGCCGCCGCCGCCGCCGCGCTACAAATACATATTTGACAGCTCGCTGAAACAAACGGGAATGACAGGGGGAGAAAAACAAGAACCGGTGTCGTTACCCTCGCTGCCCGGGTAATGCTGAGGTCTTTCATCACTTCTTCAAACGCCGCTGTCTCCTCCGCCTGCTTCTGGTTATGTAAAGCGATTTTCTCGCTGAATTTCCGCGGATTGTTCGAAGTCGCCATGTTTCGCTCGTCTGCTCCGTTTTGCTTCGGTGGTCAGTGTCAAGGTAACTGGAATGAGGACACTGAACTTCCGGCTACAATGTTGAAATAAATGTAACAGAACATCAAACAGTTCATCAACAGTTGTGTTGCGCTTTTGACCACCAGAGGTCAAAAAAGACACACATAACTACTGCCCTGACACACCAGCAGGTTATCGGGTAATCATGGCTAAAGTGTTAGCAAACTTAGACCTACCTATGCTAGGCCACACTCATAAGGCACATCCCTCTGACCCAAAGTTACTGGCCCTGTATGTCGTTGAGGGACGTTTATGACTTGTGATATAGGGCTTTATAATTATAGTTGACCTGACTTGGCTATATCTTCAGTGTGCTTAAAGGGTAATGCTCTATAGGCTAGTAACCACTCATTAGCTCTGCTTCTTTGCTCTTTTTGCGCTGGCCTGGGAAGACATCAAACCTTCAGCTTGTTCACTGGAAATTCCTGAATACAGTTTCATATTATTATGTATTTTGTCCTATGTTACTGTATTGCATTTTTATTAGCAGTGAGACCTGGTCACACCCCATAGCTTGTATATGTAGCCTTTTCATGGGTGTTTTCACAGCAGATACACGAGGACCTGTTACAAAAACCGAGTAGTAAACTTCTCCTGTGAGCAGCACAACAACAGGAGCCCTAGCTAAGTGGAATGCAGCCTTCGTTAATTAATATTATGAATTACAGCTGTACTTTTCCACATATGACACATGAACGTATCTGCTGTTAAAAAGCTTAATTAAAATCTTCAAAGACCCTGTGATAAACCGGCGACCTGTCCAGGGTGTACCCGGCCTGTCACCCAATGTCAGCTGGGATTCCTCTCCCCAGCAGCTGTATAGATAATGGATGGATGGAAATCTTCAGAGAGCTACACAACTGGGTGGTTGGTTGACCTCAGCTGGTCAGAGACAAATGCCTATTAAGGTATCAGAGCATCTGACAGTCGGTGCAGCTGGTCACTTCTCCGTTGCTTGGTCAGGTTTTTTCTGCCCAACCAAACGATTTGCTGATGCCGGGACATATGGGGATTGTGTGCTTTTATTTTGAAGCCCAAACATTGAGATTTCCGGTATCCTTCGGGTTGTCTCCGGCTGAATTAACACAGGCCCTCGGTGAGGCTTGGCTTGTTCACGTCGCTGCGCGGGGGTGTACTGGAGGCGCACCGCACATCTGGACTGCGGAACATACACAAGGTCTCACTTTTCACCAGGACACCAATTTGTACGTGGCATTTTTCAATACCTAATAATTTTATACGGCAGAATATAACATTATTATTGCTTTTTAAAAATTATTACACCTAAATTGGAGGTTGTGAAAAAACGTGTCAACCTAAATTCAGCATATATCACCTTTTTACCTTCCTTGTGTGGGTTGGCCAAAATATTCATGGCCTCCTGTGGTGCGCCCTTGATGACTGAGATTAAATACTGTCACAACACTGTCTTTTCTGCTGAGTAGACACACAAGGTGAATGGACTGCACCCTCCTATTTGAGATGTACCTATGGAGACACATGAGCTCTTGGCTAAAAGAGAAGGAGGTGGTGACACATATTTGTTAGGCCTTCTCTCCAGTGAATTCATGTATCAATCAAAAGAAAAAGATCTCTGCATGTCCATTCTTGTTTTTAACTGCAGCAGGAGCTTCATTTTCACCAGTTACTGCAGCAGCCATGAAAACAGCTGCCTGCACAGCACTAAGAGGCCTGTGAGTTTTTTTTTTTTTTTATCAAGCTCAGGAAAAACACCTCACACGCAAACTCACATTTATAACATAAAACAACTCAAGCGCTTGTTTTATTGAGAGGCCACAATTCCTCATCTTTTTTTCTGTTTTGTTTTGTTTGCACAGACACTGAAGGCACAGTGGAGCTCTTTCACCTGCCATTCACGAGGGTAATTTGGTTGTAAAGTAACCATGGCAACGTGGAAAAAGCAGTGGCTCCAGGGCAAGTGGAGGGAAGGAGTCTGTGTGCAGGATTATTCTGTTATTGCTGGATAAGCCTCTGGTGGTGGTGGTGGTGATGGGAGAGTGGAGTGTCTTTGAGTTAAGTCTGTTATTGTTAATGTATTGTTAATGTTTATCTTATGCAAACATACTGTACTGCACTATATCAGGATCTCACAGGGTGAAAGTAGTGAGCAGCAGAAAGGAAAGATTTCAGTTCATTTTATCAGTTAATCCTGAAAGTCTAAATGCCTCCGCTGTGGTTTTTGTTCTTCTTTTGCATTGCTAAACCACAATTTTCACTCATTTTAGATTTTCATTTTGGTATTTGTGGTGTGCTGAGGACTAGTAGCACATTAATAGATGTATGTGTGATACTGCGTGACAGCCTGTGACATGTGGGTTATTCTATGATGAGGAGGAGCTTAGTGACATCTAGCACTTGACATTTTGTTAGAAGTGGGTAAACAACAATGCACACTATTATCCTGAACAGACCAGCATTTCTGTGTCACCAACAATAGTTGACTTAAATCAAATTTATAATCCAGGTGAGTCCACTAATAATACACACACATAAAAACACCCCATATCAATTACATTCTGATTAAATAATAAATAAATGAAATCTCTGATTGGTTAGAGGTCAATCCCACTCAAAACCTTTTAGAAGCTAATATTTCTGGACTGCTGCCAGAGCTGTTCAGTGGGTCACAGGAGGCTTTGACAGCACCTCTCCACATTAAGACGAGTTTTGGACCAGATTTCTACAACAAAAATATTTGAAAAAAGTTACATCTTTAATGCCAGAAGTTTTAGTACCAGTATGTGTTGCCAAAGGTTTCCACAGAGCAGAAATTGTCTCTGACATTATCTGACAACCTTTCATGTGTGAGCTTTGTTAACAAGCAGTAGAACAATCTCCAGTATAATTATAAAACTGGCAGAAAGAATCCATCATCTCATATTCTTCAAATTCTGCAGAACATATAATCAAAGTACACCAACAGTAGCTTATGGCCTAGGGAGTGAAGCTGACACCAGGGGGAGGTAAAGGTCCTGTTGAACTAGACGGTCAGTGAGAGTACTTATAGCAATACAACACTATACTGAGTATCTCACAGTGCTTATCTAATTTCATTCTGTTAGGTATTTTTTTAGTCAGATAAAAATTAGTTAGATACTTGTTGTATTAGAAATGTCTTTAGTGTAGACAGGATGTCTAGCTCAGGCTGGTAAGTGCTTACTCATTTCCAGGAGTTACTCCAGGTTGTTTATGCTCCAGGATAACTAGATAGAAAGTGGCTACTGTATGATATGTTTAGCCGTAATTGTAATCATAATATTTTCTTATGTTTAATATCATGACATGTCACTAGATGTCATGTCAGAATGTCCTGTATGTTCTTAGATACATACTACTTAATCAACACTCACACACATTGATTTTCTCCATGTTTTGACTACTGCTACGGTCAGCTGTGAAGCTGGCATATCAGGTGACGCCACGGTTTGACGTCGCTGTGTAGAATGGAGTTAGCCCAAACCAGATATAATGTACAGGCCTGATGGGTTCGGGGTCTTTCATTCTTCATCTGCCTGCGAGCAGGATTGGAGGTGGAAGATACCTGGACGTGTAGTGTTAATTTTACCTGTGATCTTTTGGATAAACCAGCACGGTTATTTTTTATATCCAAGTGGTCTGCCTCGTCTCTCTGAGTTCCTGGTTAAAAGAACTGGAAAATATCTTTCAATTCTTTTCACAAGAAACTTTGACTTATGTGAAAATTTATATCATTACACAACTCTTTAAAAATAACTGTATAAAGGTCAACAAAAGGTTTGACCCTTTTCAGCCACAAAGTATAAGAAAGACCAATTTGAATTCAACTTTCTATTGTTTAGAATCAATTATTGTTTAGTCAAGCTCAAATTCCAACAGTTCCAGGGCTCATGTTGGAAACTTGTCGATTGAGTCATAAAAGTCAGTTTGACTGAAATTCTGCCATTGTCAGCAGCTGTCTTTTTTCAGAAAGGGCTTTTACAGGAAACCTTCTGATTTCAGCTCTTTGTTTAGCCCAGTTCCAACAAAAAGGGAACTTCATGTTTGCAAGAGAAACTTCATGACTTCACTTTAGACTCGGACGTTGAACCACAGCTCTGAAGTCTCGTAGGGTAAGATCGTTGAAAACTGCTTGACCTGGATCCTCAGATCAAATTACAGCAAAGCATTTGAAGTTTGCAACCCCTAAGGTTGCAGCACTGTTAACCATTTGTTTTACTGGTTTTATGACCCAGTTAAAGGGGCAGTATTACAAGAATTTTGGTAAACTGGTATACAAATCGGAGTATGCAGGTTTGGTGGGGCAACAGTTTTTACTTTCAGCTGCCCTTTTTAACTTGTACATAAATGATTTATCAGAGGAACTAAGGGCCTGTGAGATGGGCTGCATGGTTGGTAATAAATACTTTAGCAAATCATTATATGTATGCCGATGATCTGGCCATACTCTCTTCTAGCAGTGCTGGGTTTCAACTTCTACTGAACATTTGCTCAGAATATGGAGTCAAAAATGATGTGCATTATAATCCTAAGAAGAGTGCCATCATGATATGGAGAGTTACAGGCGATCTGCACTATTTATTTGTGTTAAAAGTGACCCTTAAGTAGTGGGTAACATTGTGAGCAAGGATGCATTAGGAATCACTACCAATGAGGTCCATTAAGCAATCATGCAAGATCTTTCCATTTGTCAGGACAATGTTAGATATTTGTGATAAAATTAAATACCTGGAACACTATTACAGATCAGTTCACTGGTGATGATGACGGATATAGGCAGAGATGCATGCAATATGCTAATGGTGCAGTTATTGCATAAGGTATTGTGGTGCAAATGACATGTTTTGTAAGGCAGAAGTTAGGTCCTTACAGGCCTTGTTAAGAAAATCGATTTACACGTTTATTTGTCACTTGAATGACTCCTTTAATGTTATCATTATGTCAGTGACAAATCTGGGAATGAGCACTGAGCGATACCAGTCTGTCATGTGGAAACACTGGTATGAATGTTTTTTAAGGTTGTGTTGAGTTCTTGTTGTCTTTGGTTTTGTTTAGCTTTTTTGTGATGTGTGCCTTTTAATGGATTTTTAAAAATCTCCTAATAAAGATGATATTTATGACTAAATGCTCAGAGAATGTCAACTGCAGTGCAGTAGTATGAGTAATGTCATCACTAAGTTTGATTCATCAACTTTTACACTTGCAGATCATGACTGTCAATAACACCCTGGAAACACCTTGTGTTCCTGGAAACGGCACTGACGAAT